GAAGTGCCACAGATCGTGATCGCAGCTTTTTTTTCTTTTTCTTTTTGCTGCTTGGGGTGGCAAACCCCGGGAGCCAGCCCTGCCTTTTATATTAGAGCATAATAGATTAATTACCAGCAAAAAATAAGTTTGAGAAAATGAATTGTTATGAAAATTATTAAGTTTAGTTTTGCACCCATCTATCAGTCCCAGGAAATCCATATATTACTGAAGAGAGACACCCAAGTTATGCTGCTTTCTACTTGGTGTAAAATTATAACATTGTTTTAAAGTGAAATTCACTCAGTGCAAAGGGCCAACACAAGGTGCTCTGCACTCCTTAAGGTCTTCAGTGGGGCTGTGAAGGGGAAGAGCCTCTGAAATTCCCATGTGTTGTGAAAGGGAGCATAAAATCAGGTCCAAATCAGTGGGCATGCACAAGCGGGTTTGGGGATAATTTGAGGAAGGAGATACAGAATCCATGACTACACAGATCCCGTGACACTAAACTTCTTCTTATCACTGCTGGTTGAGGGGACAAAAAAGAAGGGAAAGTAGTATTTAGAAGATGAGGAAAAGTTGAGGCATGATATCATTCTTCCCTCCCTCCCAATTTAACCAATGACCCTCAAAACTCTGCTGGGTCTTGGCACAAAATTATAAAATTTGTTATTGATTTTGTGGACATTAGAAGCTGCAGCAGAGTTTATATTTTCCACAAAATCAATGGTCTGACATCAGCACATAAAGAACTTCAAAGCATAAGGTTTCTGCACTGAAGTTGGACTGGCAGTACTTCTCTTCCATGGACCAGCAGTTTCATCCTGCCATGTTCTGCTGCTGCATCTCGTCTCATTGGAAGAGCAGAGAGAACCAGTGATTCTGACAGTGCAAGGAAAGAAGACCTGCTGCACTCCTATCTACTTTCTGGGTTGTGAAGAAAGCACTACTGATCTGACTTCAGTGGATAAGAATTGAGCACATTTTTGTGCTGAAAATCAGTCTCTGGTACATTATACTTTCAATGGTAATTTCACACCTGAGCATAAAAACTGGAGAATAACAACCCTTGCTTCAAGGAAAAAAACAGGAAAATGACCTGTTCTGTTGTTCTTTAAGATATGTCCATTTCACTTCAGCGTGCATCAGAGATGGCGATTTTCCCCTTAGCTGTACCCTTTGGTGCCGCATGCACCCTTAGCACTCTCATGCTGGTGTCTGATTATATAAAAGGGGGCACTGCCCTAACCCCCATCAGTTCCTTCTTAACAGATAGAGACTCCATTATAGAGGGGAAGGTAAAGGGTGGGTAATGGAATGGACATGTTCAACACATCTCAAAAGAACAACAGTTACAGAACAGGTTAGTGACCATTTTTTTCTTCTTCAAGTGATTGCATACGTCCATTCCACTTTAGGTGACTCTCAAGCATTCGAACTGGAGGAACATTTCAGAACCTACCTGAACAATGACTGTAGAACTACTTGTCCATATTTTGCATAATCTCTGGATTCTTGAGCTATAGCACAATGACCTGTAAAAGTATGCACCAACGACCCTGTTGCAGCTTTACAAATGTCCCTAAAAAGCACCTGAGCCAGGAAAGTGGAGGAAACTGATGGGGCTCTTGTGGAGCATGCTACCATCCTGGTTGGTGGAGGTACTTTGGAAATGTTGTAACACAGATTTATTATGCAGGAAGACATCCAGGATGAAATCCTTTGTCACGAGCCCAGGAGGCTTTTCATGCTGTCAGCAACTGAAATAAACAGCTGAGATGATGATCTAAATGATCTCATCCAAGTAAAAAACCAATACCCTTCTGACATCCACAATATGAAGCCGTTCTTCATTCTACTAAGAACGGGGCTTAGGAAAGAATGCCAGTAAGTATATTGCCTGATGCGGTAGAACTCTGAGACAACCTTAATTAGGAACTTCAGATGAGGACAGGAGTATACCTTGTCCTTACAAAATACTATGTAAGGATCCACGACCAACACACATAACTGACACCCTTCTTGTGGAGGTAATGGCCAGCAAGAAAGTTACCTTCATAGATAGATGCAGGAAAGAAGAGGTAGCCGTCAATTCAAAGGGAGAATAACATTGCCCACCAAAATCAAGATCCAGGGAGGAGTGGGATCCAGGATATGGGGATACTACCTGTCTAATCCCATTAGGAATCTGATTGATATAGGGTTAGAAAAATAGTGAGTGGCCAACCAGTTGCAGGGAGACAGATGTCAGGTGAACTCTGAGGGAACTAACAGAGAGGCTTTGTTGCTTCAGGAAAACAAATATCTAAAACATGCTGGACTGAGGCCAAGACTGGTGAAAAACCTTTCTACTGCACCCATAGGGAAAAACACTCTCACTGAAGGGGAAGTTTTTTTGGCAAACCAGTAAAGTGCCTGAAACCACTATGGCTTATTGTTAAAGGCAGCCTAGTCAGCAAGCTGTAAATTGGCCATTCAGCAGTCTCAGCTTGACCAAGGGCGGGGGAGGGGAGGTTGGGGTGCCACAGAAAGGGCAACTTGACCCCGCATCCTTCCTGTTAAGAATTGTGTTGAAGTTGCTGATACATGCATTTTAAAAGAGCAGGATGTACCACAGGAATTGTCTATTGGGGTCTCAAGGCTGAAAACTCTGGAAAAACCCACCCCTGGTTAATCAATAATCAGAAGGAGCCTCTTGCTTGCCCATTGGAACTGCTTGCTTAACAAGTTTTCTTTAAGGGACATGTCATTCTATTACTAATGTATAAATAAGGGGAAAAAGCTTGAGATAGTTGGACTCGTTTGGGGACTCTTTTTGGACTCTCCCTCTGGATACATCTTGCAGTCCCCACCAGCAGACGGAAGATTTGGCCACCGGAAGCCTGCTGCTGTTTCACTCGAGAGCCACATGCAGCTTTGGTAATTATCAAGGGTTTGGGGTGTTTTACTAATCTGTTGTGGACGTGTGTAAGTGCTTGAGACTAAGTAAAGTGTAGCTTTAAGTGAAAGCACTCTTGTGTTGTCCTGTTTGTGCCAGCCATCTATCGGTCGGACAGCCGTGTCTCCCCTGATTTATTTCCTGACACCACCTTGCACAGAGTAAAAGTTACCAAGAGCTTTGGGTTGAAAGAACCCCGGGTAACACCACTACAACAGGTAAGATTACTTGTAGATGACTTCCTCATTTGTATGTCCACAGAACACCCCACCTCTTGAGGCATTAACATTGGAGCATCCATGCCCTGCGATGGAGAGTGGATGGGTTGGGATGTAGCATTTGACCTTGGTCCTAGAAAATTATGTTGGGATCCCAAAGAACAGCCAATCGAGTCCTGACTGATAGTTTCAGAAAAGTGGAAAACCAATGCTGGCAAGGCCAAGCTGGTGCTACTTGTAAGATCAGTTCTTTAATATGAGGGAGAAAAACAACATACAAGATGAATTGAATGCAATACGTGGAGAACTAGATCTTGATGCAACCCGTAGTTCTTGATTCCAAGTTGATAGGACTATAGTCCTCCATTCATAGTTCTTACTTAGGTGAGCTCCCAACATAAAGAAGTGTCAATAATGACAGTCTTTGTGGGCACAAGCAGGGTAAAGAGAACTCCCATGTCCACATTGTCTAAGGAGGCTAGGACTCCTGCAAGCACATGAACCAGCATGTCTAGTGGATGATGAGACAGGGAATTAGCCAACTTTAACCAGCCCTGCAAATTCCTGAGATGAAGCCTGCTGTGCCAAATCACGTACATGTAGGTCATTTGCACAAGGAGTGAAAGATGGTTTCTTACTGTTGTGAGCAGATGGGCTTTGAGAGCTGCACAAATATTTAGCATTGTGTGGTACCTGGCTTATGACAGGAACACCCTGGCCACTGTACTAGAGAGCAGACCGACTTGTCCTTGTTGATTAACAAGCCCAAATATTTGAAAAGGAACTGGCTCCCGGCCACACGGATACCTACTTGGAGTTTGGACTGAACTCATGCCAGCCAGTTAGATGGCAAGTGAGGGAGCAGTGAACAACTATGGATGAGTTGTTGGGACATGTTAATATGTATATCGACTGATACGAATCCCAGTTTTTGGTCTCATAGTTTATATAGTCCTGGAGATGGGTTACTATAATGCAAAGGGAAGCACCCATAAAATGCAATTCTACCCATTAAAGTGACAGGGTATGTTCTGGCTTGTCAAATCTTTACTAATGGTGATGATGACAGATAGAAAGAACTCCTACTTGACTATTATGGTGAACTTAAAAAGCTAGTAGTTAGTAAACCAACCAATCATTAAAAGGACCTCAGCCCAGCCTTTAGGAGAAGTAGTTTGATTAACTGACAGAGTTTAAAAAGTTTAAAATTTATTTAATTATTGTTTGTATGTGAGTGTGTGCATGCATGAGTGGAGAATAAAAGCGTGCAGACCTCCTTATTCAGCCTAAATTAGGTTCTCATTTAAACCCACACAATCCTATTAGCCGTTTTTTATTTGTAAACAGAGCAAATGTGACACAGAATCAGTTAAACACCTTTCAGAGAAGAACCACATTTTAAAAATGTGGTAAAAGTGCCCTTTAATTGCATTATCTCCTGTGATTAAACATCTTGTAAGTGTTGCCGGGAGCCACAAGTTACAGAATTAGACATTCTGTTGGAAGGTACTGTCCACTGTGACCCTTTTCATTTCAACATTACCATTGTTTCTAGAGAGTGGAGTTTGTCTGTATTCCCAAAAGGTAGTGTTACAAATTAGCTGTATATATTGTGAGGAATTAAAGATAAGAGAATGTAAAAGATTTCAGAAATAATTTTCTGAGATTAGTACACACCGAAAATCCATTGATTAGTTTTAAGTAACTGGAGTTCTCTCAATATATAATACACTGAAAGACCCACACTTTTCTTGATGTGCGAACCATTTAAAAAAGTGGATTTAGAACCATCCAGATTGGTTAAAATTTTGATTTAGGGTGGTCAATGATACCAAGACTGCATCTATAAAAGGAAGTATACATACCTACACCACCTATCTGGAATCAGAAAAAGTCCAAAAAAAAAAAAAAGCAGGATAGAGAGAAACTGAGTACGGATATTTGGAGACAAATATTCTACATTCAGATATTCCAGTTTTCAGTAATTAATCTATTTTTCTCCTTTATTAAATGTGTCTCTCCAGATGCAAAGTATTGGAGATCAGTCAGCATTAAACTCCCCTAAGAGGTTTGAGGAGTATCAACTAAACATGGACAGCAAAATTGCTTTGCCAAAGCAGACATATAAGCAAACTTGTGCCTCTAGACAATAAGTATGTCAGTTGTCAGAGATTAGTGCCGTGTATATTTGGGATATGGAAACTTTGAAATGCATTCAGCTATCTGTTTAGACAAATGCTGACATGATATTATTTTCCCTTTGGACTGTCCTCATATACCAAAAAATGATGAGACTTTAGAAAAATAGAAAAACAAAGTGTGCTCTGTACATAATTAGAGGAGAATGACCTCTCCTTAAGAAATATGAAGGAGGAGGAAAAATGGAACTCCACAACCACTGAGGGCAAAAAGCTGTTACCTACCTTTCTTTTCTACTGGAGGTGTGTGCATACCGTGTGCACAGTTGTCAGAGATTTTTCCCTAAGCAGTTCTTGTCGGGGCTGCGTGAACACCTTCTGGAGCCCTTGTATTACTGTATGCAGGTATAGAGGGCTGCGCTATTCCTACACCCATCAGTTCCTTCCTAACAGAAAGACTCCAATTGAGAGGGGAAGGAAGGCAGGTCATGGACTGGACATCTCGAAGAACAGTAGTTATAGAAAGGTAGGTGACCATTTTTCTTCTTCGAGTGGTGGCACATGTCTATTGTAGATGACTCACAAGAAGTTCAAACTGGAGGTGGGCTCAGAGTCTACTTGAACAGGGACTGTAGGACCACACATCCAAATCTGGCATTGTCTCTAGATTGATGAGAGATGGCATAATGAGAGAGAAGTGTATGGACTGACACAGAGGTTACCACTCTACAAATGTCCAGTATAGATACATGAGCCAGAAAAGCTGCAGAAGTTGCCTGCGACCTGGGTGAGTGAGCCACCATTTTATTTGGAGGTGCAATATCAGCCAATCAGCATTATAAACAAATACAGCTGGAAACTCAGCTGGGTGGCCCTTTACTTTGTCTGAAACTGCAGTGAAGAGCTGAGATAGACTTGAAAGGCTGAGTCCAATCCAGATAAAAAGTCCAAGCTCTTCTAACATCTAGACTATGGAGCTTTTCTTCCCTTTTACTTGAATGAGGCTTTGGAAAGAAAGTGGGTAAATACATTGCTTGATTATTGTGTAAACTGGAAACCAATTTAGACAGGAATTTTGGATGAGGTTGAAATAAAATCTTGTTCCTAAAGAAAATTGAATAGGGAAGCTCTGATATGTAAAGTTTGCAGCTCTCCAACTCTCCTAGCTGAGGTTATAGCAACCAAGAAAGCCACCTTCATAGACAGGTGTAGCAGAGAACAAATTGCTAGCAGCTCAAAGAGGGGACCCATCAATTTTGCTAGAACTAAATTTAAACTCCACTGTGGAACCAGGCTGTGAACCTGTGGGTATAATCTGAGCAAACACTTTAGAAATCTGATGGTCATAGGATTTGAAAAAACTGATTGGTTATCCAAAGGAGGGTGGAAAGCTGAGATAGTTGTCTAATGCAGTGCTTCTCAAAGCCGGTCTGCCGCTTGTTCAGGGAAAGCCCCTGGCACGCCGGGCCGGTTTGTTTACCTGCTGCGTCCACAGGTTCAGCCGATTGCCAGCCCAGGCCAATGGGGGCTGTGGGAAGCAGCGCGGACCGAGGGATGCGCTGGCCACCCTTCCCGCAGCCCCCATTGGCCCGGAGTGGCGAACCGCGGCCAGTGGGAGCCGCGATCAGCCGAACCTGCGGACTCGGCAGGTAAACAAACCGACCCGGACCGCCAGGGGCTTTCCCTGAACAAGCGGCGGCCCGACTTTGAGAAGCACTGATGGATCTAAGAGCTAATCCTTCTTGTTTCAGAAACAAAAGTAGTCCAAATTATGGCAAATTGGATCTTGAGCTGGGGGAATGCCTCTTTGTATGGACCAAACAGAAAATCTCTTCCATTTAGCAATAAAAATACCTAGTTAAAGGCTTCCTACTATTTAGAAGAATTTCCTGCACCTCCTTAGAGCAAACTCGTTTTGATTTTGTCAGCCATGAAGAATCCATGCTATCAGGTCTGAAGGCTGGAATGAAGGAGAAAGCTGTGGTTCTGGGAGATCACATCCACATTTCTCAGGAGTGGCAGTAGAAGTCTGACCAATAGGGCTAGTAGTTGAAAACCACTGTTGCCAGGGCCATGTTGGGGCTATTAGAATATGGTGAGCTTGACACTGGACAAGACTTTGGGCAGGAGCGGAACTGGAGGAAAGGCATACAGCAGACTTTTTGACCAGGGTAGGAGGAAAGCATCTATCAGTGAACCCGGGTTGTGATCCACTCAGGAACAACAAAAAAAAAAAAGACATTTTTGCTTGTTCTTGTTGCAAACAGGCTACTTGGGGAGTTCTCCATTGCTGGAAAATGGACTTGGACACATCTGGGTGAAGAGACCACTTGTCACCAGCGAATGACCTGTTCAGGCAATCTGCCAGCATGTTTTGAACTCTTGGAGGGTAAGCAGCTCTCAAGCTGATGGAACTGGCAATGCACAAATTCCAAGGAGGATTGCCTGTTTGTACACCTCTGATGAATGCCCCCTGCCCCATTTGTTTACATAGAACATGGCTGTTGTGTTGTTTGTGAGTACCAGACAAGTTCCGCCCCTTGATATTTGGAAGGAATGCCATGCAAGCGAAATGGATGGTCCAAAACTCCCTGATAATTTATATGAAAACTTAGAACCTGAGTCTGAAGGGGACCTAAGTGACCTCCCCAGCCTAGACCCAATGCATCTGTGACTAGAGTGACTGACTATTGTGGAGGGGCAAAGGAAACTCCCTCACAAACATCTGCAGCTTCTACCCATCAGTCCATGGAAGAATGCACTAATAAAGTTTGCAGATGACACGAAGCTGGGAGGTATTGCCAATACAGAGAGGGACTGGGATATCCTACAGGAAGATCTGGATGACCTTGTAAACTGGAGTAATAGTAATAGGATGAAATTTAATAGTGAAAGTGCAAGGTCATGCATTTAGGGATTAACAACAAGAATTAGTTATAAACTGGGGATGCATTACTTGGAAGTAACAGAGGAGGAGAAGGACCTCGGAGTATTGGTTGATCACGGGTGAGTTTCTTGACCAGCAAGGAAAGTCAGCACCGATAGGTTAAACCAACTGACTGCTTTGAAAGCTTCGGGTGTAGATGGCACTGGAAAGGACTACCAAGTTTGCAGTACTGAAAGGTCCACTGATCCTTCAGGGATTTGTTTTAATGGACCCTTCCTGGGCTCCAGAGTCAGCAATCCCTCCTGGCTTATGGACTGGCCCTGGGAGTCCCTCTTCTTGGAGCACACCTCTGAGTCCTTGCCTCCACTCGCTGTCTTCATTGTAGACTTTAAAGTCCTTGGTGCTGACTCTTGGGGAGACTTAAGTTGTGTTTCCTTAGGTGCCAGCAATGAGGATCTGCCTCTGGACTCAGAACAGGGGGAGCCTTCCTAATCAGCACCGACACACTTGGTACTCATTCTGAGCAGGAAGGTTTTGATAGCTGGTGAAGCACAGGTTTCAGAGTAGCAGCCGTGTTAGTCTGTATCCGCAAAAAGAACAGGAGTACTTGTGGCACCTTAGAGACTAACAAATTTATTTGAGCATAAGCTTTCATGGGCTACAGCCCACTTCATCAGATGCATAGAATGGAACATATGGAACATATAGTGAGGGGGGGTCAGACTAGATGACCATATTGGTCCCTTCTGACCTTAAAGTCTATGAGTCTATGAGTCTATATATATACATACAGAGAACATGAAAAGGTGGGAGTTGCCCAACCAACTCTAAGAGGCTAATTAATTAACATGAACTGTTGTCAGCAGGAGAAAAAGAACTTTTGTAGTGATAATCAAGATAGCCCATTTAAGACAGTTTGACAAGAAGCTGTGAGGATACTTAACATGGGGAAATAGATCCAATGTGTGTAATGGCTCAGCCATTCCCAGTCTCTAGTTAAGCCTAAATTGATTGTATCTAGTTTGCATATCAATTCTAGTTCAGCAGTTTCTCATTGGAGTCTGTTTTTGAAGCTTTTCTGTTACAAAATTGCCACCTTTAAATCTGTTACTGAATGGCCAGAGATGTTGAAGTGTTCTACTACTGGTTTTTGAATGTTATGATTCCTGATGTCAGATTTGTGTCCATTTATTCTTTGCGTAGCGACTGTCCTGTTTGGCCAATGTACATGGCAGAGGGGCATTGCTGGCACATGATGGCATATATCACACTGGTAGATGTGCAGGTGAATGAGCCCCGATGGTGTGGCTGATGTGATTAGGTCCTATGATGGTGTCACTTGAATAGATATGTGGACAGAGTTGGCATTGGGCTTTGTTGCAAGGATAGGTTCCTGGGTTAGTGTTTTTGTTCTGTGGTGTGTGGTTGCTGGTGAGTATTTGCTTCAGGTTGGGAGGCTGTCTGTAAGCGAGGACAGGTCTGTCTCCCAAGATCTGTGAGAGTGAGGGATCATCTTTCAGGATAGGTTGTAGATCTTTGATGATGCGCTGGAGGGGTTTTAGTTGGGGGCTGAAGGTAACGGCTAGTGGCGTTCTATTATTTTCTTTGTTGAGCCTGTAGTAGGTGTCTTCTGGCTCTGTCAATCTGTTTTTTCACTTCAGCAGGTGGGTATTGTAGTTTTAAGCATGCTTGATAGAGATCTTGTAGATGTTTGTCTCTGTCTGAGGGATTGGAGCAAATGTGGTTGTATCTTAGAGCTTGGCTGTAGACAATGGATCGTGTGGTGTGTCCTGGATGGAAGCTGGAGGCATGGAGGTAAGTATAGCGGTCAGTAGGTTTCCGGTATAGGGTGCTGTTTATGTGACCATTGCTTATTAGCACAGTAGTGTCAAGGAAATGGACCGCTTGTGTGGATTGGTCTAGGCTGAGGTTGATGGTGGGATGGAAATTGTTGAAATCATGGTGGAATTCCTCAAGGGCTTCTTTTCCATGGGTCCAGATGATGAAGATGTCATCAATGTAGTGCAAGTAGAGTAGGGGCATTAGGGGACGAGAGCCAAGGAAGCGTTGTTCTAGCACAGGCTCCATAAGCAGGTACTTGAGTCTGGCAGCCCTGTCCTTTTTTGATCGGGGTTTGAACCCTTTACAAATGTGAAATTTGTCACTCACATGCCTCTCCAAGTATCAGAGGGGTAGCTGTGTTACATCCGACGAAGTGGGTATTCACCCACGAAAGCTCATGCTCCAATACGTCTGTTAGTCTATAAGGTGCCACAGGACTCTTTGATGCCTCTCCAAGACACTTAAGGCAGCTGAGGTGAGGGTTACTCATTGGCACAGACTTGTTGCATGAGTAAAAGGCCATGAAGCCAGGAGAACGAGGCATTAGTTCAGTACCGAGCCCAGTATCCAGCTGGGAACTGGGAATCCTGCTCTAGAAAATTACAAATACAAAGATCAGAGCTCCAACAACCATCACTGGCAGTAGGAAAGAACTGTCGGGGGTTGGGGTTGGGGTTTATACCTGCATGCAGAGGTGCAAGGCATCAGAGGGCACTCACACTCCCGTGATGGGTACTGCTGAGGGAAAAATCTCTGACAACTGTGCACGAGGGACACACATACCTACAGTGGAATGGACATGTGCATTAACCCGAAACAGAACAAACTCTTGAAAGAACTTGGAACTTACTATCTGCCTGGCTAAGGATGATAACCACTAGAAAGACCATTTTAGTGAAACAAAATGCAATGGGCAGCAGGCATTAGTTAACGGATTAGAACAGAGGCCCCACCAGTATACTCAACACTCGTGGACAAATTCTGGTCCTACTGAAGTAATGGGCAAGACACCTATTGAATGGCCCTCTGATTTAGGTTTAACTTCAGATCCCATGATTGTACCTGGCATTTAACTGGAGTATGTATATAAAGGAGTCCTGGAGGAACTGATTAGAGGGAAGCAAAGAAAGATCTTACATACTTCTTCCTGGAAAACAGTAATGGTTGTCAAAATATCTTTTGAAAAGCCAGTCATAGCATTTTTAGATAATGAAAGAAACTATTCCAATAGTACTGGAACATGATATGCATGAGGAAGAAGGCCTTTGTTTTGTATGAAAATAGAAATTTGAAAGAGTCCAGCAGAACCTTCTGCACTTTGAGAAAAGCTACTTTTTGACAAAGCAGGCTGTAATACCCTTTCATGATTCAGGTATTATATACAATCACAGCTGAGCTGCCTGTAGAATCTACATTTGACTTTAAAATACTGAGAATATTGCAGCCAGAACCAAGCATACAGCCTGTAGCTCTACCTACCCATAAAGGAAACTGAGTTTCTTAAGCCTAGACACATGGGGGATGTATTTCCCTCAAACAAACCTCCAGCCAAGTTTAGGCATCTATGTCTTTCTATGGAAGATGATGTTTACTCAAACAGGCATAAGGAATAAAATATATGCAAGGTGTCACTAATCCAAAAGTTGAGGTGCAAAGCCAAACCATATCATCCATCTGATGAAGCAAGAGACCAGTATAAAAACAATGGGACTACAATAATTTCTATGTAAAAATTATTTCCCTGTTCATAATGCCCCTCTATCTGCATTGAAGTGAACATAGTGCTCCATTCTCGTACAGCTCGAAGCAATACCTTTTAAACTAAGCCTAGTACTCTTTTCTTCATTTTACCAGACTAGCTGCTTTTGTTAGCAGAATTACTATATAGCAGAGGTTCTCACTGAGGCCATAGGCAGAGAATTTGATTATCATACTGTAACAACATCTAACTTGTGATTTTTCTGCATTTCTTTCATTCCTAGAATATTCAACTGCAATTCTATGTCTTTGATACACTGAATATCAACACCAAGGAAAGACCTTTAAAGATAAAAAACAATGTTCACCTGGAAAGAAACAGTTCATGTTTCATCTAGGCCCACAAGGAGACAACATAATTTGAAGCTTTCTGATGAATCAGATAAGCTACCTTTTTACTATCCATCTCAACTTGAAAGGCTATTATGGAAGAAATTATTTTTCCTCAGTGTACAGTCTTCCACAGCTACAGCAGTTAGCTATGTAGTAGTGCAGAATAGCCATTGCTTCATGGAAGGTTTTTTCTCCATCCATCTCAATGGTAGTCATCTGAGGTTAAATCGGTATAGTTAGCCAATTCAATGTTGTTCCTGGTGGACTCACTTCACCTCACTGCTAGCTGCTTTTCTTTTCTGACAGGTTTCAGTCAATTCTGCGGGGTGGCGGGAGCGGCAAAGCAAAAAAAAAAAAAAGGATTCCAGGGAATGCCGCCGCCCCTTATAATCTGCCACCCCAGGCACGAGCTTGCTCAGCTGGTGCCTGGAGCCGGCCCTGCATGGAGAGAAAAGGCCCAAAGTGATTTGGGTGGGAATAAAGTTATTTTATGTCCATGATGTGAAACTATTCTGACAAAAGACACTGTATATACAGGTATTGTGTTTTCCTATTTTAGGCCTCATCGGGATGATGAGCAAAGCTAGGTTGGGGTGTGTGTGTTGTTATGAGCTGGGTGATACCTCATTATGGGCTGAGTTAAAACATCATTCAAACTGATTTGAACTGAACATGCCCTTCATTTAAGACAGCTAAGGGGCCACACCTAAAACAAAGCCTAATAGAATCTGCCCAGAAACTAGCACCATGTAGGCAGGGGTTTCCACTGGATATTGTGACCAGGGATTTATGAGGGTGTGTGAGAGAACGCACAGAAACTGAGAACAGGCAGAGGGAGAGGTAAAAAGCAACGAAGCCAAGCAGAAGCTGGTGAGTACAGTGTGACCCTGGAAAAAGCTAGAGAGAGAACTTTTGGGTCTATCAGCTAAAGAGCCTTGGTGTTGCAAGCTAAGAAACTGCTCCTCTTGTTTTTGGTTCCTCCTTAGTTGAGAGAAGCAGGATTTTGTACATACCTTGTAAATAAACAAGACTGCATCAAAGAAATACCTGTCCACCAATTTCTCCTCCTAACTGTAACATCCCCAGAGCCCTGAACTTTGACTAGCTGCTCAGGTCGAAAAGGGGCAACACTAATATACGAGTCACTCCGGGTACAAATTACATCCCTAATATAGCAAAGGGATTCACCTACACAGAGTCCCTATGGCCTGGTCTATACTAGGGGGAGAGGATTGATCTAAGTTACGCAACTTCAGCTACATGAATAACGTAGCTGAAGTTGACGTACTTAGATCTACTTACTGTGGTGTCTTCACTGCGATAAGTCGATGGTTGACACTCTCCAGTCGACTCCGCCTGCACCTCTCGCCCTGGTGGAGTACCGGAGTCGACGGGAGAGTGCTCGGTGGTCAATTTATTGCGTCTAGACTAGACGCGATAAATCGACCCCCGCTGGATCGATCGCTGCCAGTAGACAAGGCCTTAGTCTACAAGTGAGAGCTTACAGCTATGCAAATGTACTGATGCAGCTGCACCAAGTAATTAATTTGTACCAGGGCTTGCCAAGGCTGAACCCCAGCACCTGTAGGCTTGGCAGTTGATAGCCCCCGGCACCTTTGGGTTTGCCACGTCAGTTATGAAAGTAAAAAAATAGCTTGAGTCCCGGCACCTGTTTAATTACAAATTAAGCACTGGTTGCGCTACCGTAAGATCTTTCGTGTAGCTGATGGGAAAGAGCTCCCCTGTCAACATAATTAATCCGCCCCAAATGAGCAGCGGTAGCTCTCCCACCAACATAACCCTGTGCATACTAGCGCTTATGCCGGTGTAATTTATATGGCTCATGGGGGTGGAATATTCATCTCCCTGTGCAACATAAGTAGTAGTGTAGACATTGCCTCAAATACTTCAATAAATTCTTCTCAGCAGATTTCTGTAGATTGGGCCTAAGAAAATTCACTTCTGATTATTTTGCTTCCTCCATATATATATTTTTGCTGTTACCCACCGGTGGTTTCTACTCATCTTAAAATTAATCTTTGCTAGACATCAGGGTAATAGATTTAGAAAAAGCCCTACAACAACAAACAAGCAAGCAAGCAAGCAAACAGAAAACACCGAAACCCTTTGTCCTCCCAAATTTGAGAGGAGCTAAATGGGGAAAAATTAACTGCTAGACTCTTAAAATTAATAAATATGCATGTGTTATATAATGAAAGAAAAAATGAAATAGTTTACTATTGGAAATTATCACTAAATTTTTTTTACATCAGTCTATTGGTATAGTATACACAAAGCACGTTTAAAAACTGATTGTTTATAGTCACAAATTCACCAATAATGTGCATATTCCTTTGTGTCTTTTTCTGGTTTTCCTAACAATCCAACAAATTAGATAATTTGTTACATAGCAATGTTTTAGAATATTGAATGTATAAGCCATATTTATGGCATAAGGCAGTTTATTCCTGAAGCTGCAACAATCATTAGATTCTGATGTTCATCTATTTTATTGAACTACCCGCAGGGAGCTTTATGGGAATACTATCATGTCAAGGTCACAGGATTAAGTGAGCAGTGATGACAGTAAACAAACCTTTTCTGTATATTCTAAAAGGTTTTACTGAGTTACTTAAAATGCCATAAACATAAATAGTCTTCTATCTCTACAATGCATCCATGACAGATGACTTCAAAATACAGCACTCTTGGGCAATGGAGCTTTACAACCTAACCAATAGCCTTTATTATTGACAAAAGATATCAATATACTCAAGATCACAAATATCAAGAGATGGTTGCAGTCTAAGTTATCCTTAAACATTTTGTGTGCAAACAACATTTGTTTATATTATAAGCCACTTTGTGAACAGATAATAGTACAACAGACAAGACGAGAGCTTGAATAGTTTACACTAAATTCACATAGAAAAATAACTGCTCTAATTAAATCTGTACCTGGACACAAATGTATACATACCAATTAAAATAAATAATAATACTTTGCATACGTCAGCATCTTCCAACGAAATATCTTTAAGTGTTATATTGCTTGGAAGAATTTAATCTCAATACCTCTCAGAAGTAAAACAGACAGTAGTATACCTGTTTTATCAAAGAGGAAATTGGCACAAACAAGTAAAATGACCTGCTTAAAGTCATATGAAATCTGAGGCAGAGATGGGAATCTTCTGAATCTTAGTCCTAGGTTTAACCTCTAGACCATTCTACCATCCTACCTAAAAATAATTTAAATGAACCTGGCTAAGCTTACCCTTTTCACTCTATTCCCATTTATAAACATGAAAATCATAACAAGTGACCTCAAATTATTTTGGGAGAACACAATTAGACAAATAATAAATTATAAAAATGTTTCAAATGAAAAAAGTACAAGAGTAAGAAAAAAATGCCTCTAAGCAGCCCAGAAAGATTTCCTCATCAGTCTAATAATGTGGTATTTCCAATGATTCCAACACAAATGCCTGAGAAGTCTGCCAAAGAGCCAGATGTTACTGTTTGAAAAATATTTTCTATAGCTTGGTATTTGGATACTGTAATCAGCATCTAAATAAAGAAAGAATGATAGAATGTGACAGTGCTACTACAATCCTAGGCACCTCTTACAAATGTGAAATTTCTTAAGCTTTATATATTTTCATGTGCTAAATAACAATGAGGACAATGCAGTGTTCAAATAAATCCATTTAAAATCACAGAATAAATTAAAACATTTGCATTTCTGCATAAGTTGCCGCCTTAGAATTTTAAGACCTTCTTTTTGAGATTTCCCACAATTTATGCGTCTTGTTTTTCACATTCCTTCCCTCAGCTACTGAACAAGATTTGGAGAATATGGGAGACTTGTCTGTATCATACAAAGTGCTTACCAGGGTGGCAACTGAAAAGGCAAGAGAGACCATGAAGAAATAGAGAAATGTTCTGGTATCACCTAGATATGTGAAGTTAATTCTTTAAATCCTGTCAGACAGACATCTTACCTTTCTCAATACCTTGGTCTGTTAAACAATCCTACCCTGGGTTAAAGCCTTAAATTGCCCAAAAGGGATGCACTAGGTATCTTGCTTGCGTACCTAAGGAAAAATGCATTATTTTCCAGGCCTCCTGATTGGTTTCCACCAAGTTCTGTTATAGGGGGAAGGGAGAAAGAAGAGGGCACCTGTGAGAAAAATGGTTGCAAGATACTTAACTCCTGGTGTGAATGCCAGCAAATCACACCAAGTCCCAGAGTGGAGAGGAATTAGGAGGCAGTAATGGAAAGGGGCAGGTAGCTTTGATAAGTCCTAGTAATAACAGAAGAGATTCGTTGATATGACGGAAGCTGGACTGCTGCACATGCTTCTCCCTGTTGCTGGACTGAAGGAGGAGCAGAGTTCTTGCGTAACTTGCTAAGCATGAACTTTGGCCTTTCTGTTGACAGAGAGTTGTTTGTCACTCTGAAATACTGTATGAGGATTTAAGTTTTTCCTTATGTCAGAAGCTTTTCCTGACTCTGAGTTGTCAAGGGCTAATATTTCTTTTCTTTATCTGCCACCTTCCACATGTTCAGATGGGAAAAGAACTGCCTTGTAGCTGGCTCTCTTACCCCAGAGTAAAACTTGAGATTCCCAAATTAGTGCTACCATGAAAAATATTGGTAGTTAGTTGTATAAAGTCAATGATAGAAAGATTTAGATTTTTGTTGTTGTTGTAGGTAAAGGCAGAGATCTGTAGGTCTACTGTTTTCACAGCTTGGAAGGAGAGAATATTGGTAAGGCTTATCTCTTTGTGCCAGTCTTGAAATAAAAAGGACTGATCTGCTTCCAAATACTAGGCAGTGAGAGGAAATGCATTAAAGATTGTGTGGTGTGCAGAAGATACTGTAAAGGAATAAACAGAAATGAAAGAAAATAACCTGAGTGGAAGAATGGAGCAACTGTAAGCTCCAT